TGGTATCGTTGCATCCCTAGTGTGATTGAATCATCACCTAAACAGATTCGAAGCTTCAGCTTTTATTGCAGGGCTGCTAAATTGAAGATGCTGCTTTCTATTTTATTCTTCCTCGTTACATCTTTGTCTTGTTTTTGTTCCAGAAGAAACCACATAAATGTGGTTTTTCATGGCACTTAAGCTTTGGTTTGCCCAGAAACAAAGCTGTTTTTTCTTAAAAAACAAAGCTGTTTTTCTTAAAAACAAAGCTGTTTTTCTTAAAAACAAAGCTGTTTTTCTTAAAAACAAAGCTAGGAAACAGCAGGTTTGCATATCTGTGTGTAAATTTAAAGAAGCAAACTTTTTGTTTTTCTTTCTTTATCTCCTCTGTTGATTTGACCGTACACGTCAAACTAACATTGGACGTCACTCTGGACTTTGAAAACGTGCTGTGGAGTGTTTTTCTTTTTTCTAGTTTCCTTTATTGATTAAATGATTGTCAAAGAAGTCATTCAGATATGAGGGAGAACGCCTTTTATCTCGTTTATTATGAACATTCAGCTGTACACATACAAAGGTTTGATTCAGTGGATGTGCTCTCCTTGAATCGACTGAACCTCATTCGCTTTGCTTTTTCTGTTTCAGACTACGAGAAGATTTTCCTCCTCTTGAAACAGATCCAGGGCACTCTCGACACCCGGCTCATCTTCCTCCAAAACATAATCAAAGAGGCAGCCAGGTACAAAGTTCAGCCCTCCTCCTCTGATGTCAGAGCGTTATTACCTCTCCCCTAATTTTTTTTTTTTTTACTTAAAATGAGCTGCAAACAGAAAAAGGGGGACTGTCTTTCTTTATAAGCTCTCTTAAAGTAAAGTCTGCATTTAAAACATCTGCAGTTTCACGAACCGAACAAAATGCAAAGAAACAAAAATTGTCTGTTCATGATCTCCTTTGCCACAGAGTTGTTTTTAAAAGGCAAATGTTAACACGTGTCATTGCTTCTTCTTCTGCAAAGGTTCAAGAAGCGCGTTCTCATCGAACAGCTGGAAAACTTCCTCGAAGAGATCCACAACAGAGCCACTAACATGAACCACGTGGACACGTTCTAACGCGAACTCATTCCCAAACTGAACTTACTGGTAACCAAACCAGGCAACCCTCCACGTCCCCCTCAAACCACCACTCCTACTGTACCAGGGGCCCCTGCAGAGATGAGACGAGGCAGCATCCAGCTCCCAAAGCATCGCTTCTTCACTGGACTCCTTCATTCATTTAATGAGCATCATGCTTGTGTTGTTTGCACAGTAATCCTCAAAGACAGTACTGACCCTGAGTAATGCAGATGCATTTTTCAGACTTGCAAAAAAAAAAAAAAGGAAAAAAAAGATGAGCGAGGAAGCACATATCGCTGCAGGTGTGAAGGTGAAGGCCTATGCAATGACGTGTTTGTCCTGTGGACAGTTTGTACAGGAAGGTTCTCTGAACCCGTCCTCAGATGTTGCCCTTTAATTATTCAGCTGCCCTCATCAGATTTTTCTTTTTAACAAATGTGAGTGGTTATCTCTCAGACAGGGGTGCTGAA